CTGATATCTGACTTGTGTCCATTTATCCTCTTGCGTAGTGACTGTCCAGTTTTGCCAATGTACATAGCAATGTAAATTTGACACCATCAGATCAGGATTAAACAAAGACTGTGAATGGCTATCCAACTACAGAAGCAGTTTCTCCTCCCTTGGTGTTCACACCTCAGCTGCTAGCAGAGCACCTCACCCTCCCTGACTGAACTAACCTTGTTATCTCCATACTGATTTATACCTGCCTCTGGAAATTTCCATTACTTGCATCTGAAGAAGTGAGGTTCTTACCCACGAAAGCTTATGCTCCCAATACTTCTGTTAGTCCTAAAGGTGCCACAGGACCCTCTGTTGCTTTTTACAGATTTAGACTAACACGGCTACCCCTCTGAAACTGGAGTACTGTGTCCAATTCTGGACACCACAATTTGAGAAAAATGTAGACTAATTGGAGAAAGTCCAGAGGAGAGTAATAAAAGTGCTTAAAGGTCTAGAAAATGTGAGCTTCTAGGAAAGATTGAAAAAACGGGGTTTGTTTAGTCAGAAAGGGAAGAGTGAGGGGAACACGATAACAGTCGTTAACAATCTTTATCACCCTCCTCTTTTCAAATATGTAAAATTGTTCTCCTTATCCAATGAGGCCAGGACAAGCGGTAACGGGCTTAAATTGCAGCAAGGGAGATTTAGATTAAACATTAAGAAAAACTGCCTATCTGCAAGGGTAAGTTAAGCACTGGAACAAATTCCCTACTGAGGTTGTGGAATCTTGGTCATTGGAGGTTTTAAAGAATAGGTTAGACAAATAGCTATCAGAGATTATCTAGATCAGAGGTTCTCAAACAATAGGGCAGGCCTCCAAAGGGAGGCTTGGGAATGTGTCAAGGGAGATGCGTGTGGGGGGCTATTTAAAAAAGAGCTCTGGCCATCAGCCCTGAGTGGCTGGGGCTCCTGTAGAAGGGCCGCGCACACGTGGAGCCCTGCTGCCAAGGCTCTCCTTCTTCCCCCCACCCATTTCCTCACTGGGAGGCAACCCAGGCTCGGGATCGCCTTCCTTCTTCCGTCCAATCCCTCAAGCTGGAGGTGGTGGGGCTCTGGCTGTCAGCCCCGGGGCAGCAGCAGCACAGAAGTAAAGGTGACAACAGGGTGCTAAGTCTGCTGCAAAAAAAGTGATATCACTTTTCACACTGCCACCCTTACTTCTGTGCTGCTGCTGGTGCAGAGCTGGCATCTGAGCTGGGCGCCCGGCCAGCAACCACTGCTCTACACTCTGCCTTCAGAGCTGGGTGGCGTACTTGTGGGAGTGGGGCTTAAAAAACTACAGACAAAGAAAGCACAAAGCGATCAAGTAAATCTGAGAACCACTTATCTAGATAATACTTAGTCCTGCAACAGTGCAGGGGACTGGACTAGATGACCCATCAAGGTCCCTTCCAGTCCTACATTTCTACGATTCTATGCACATATGAGAAAAGACATTGAGAAATTAATGTTTTTCTGAAAATACATTAGAGATCTAAATTAATCTGCTATTTCTTGGTAGAATAAGAACAATTTCAAAATTCAAAAGCACTTTCCAAATATCAACTAGTAAGTAGCCCCAGGTTATAGGGAAGCTGAGAAGAGGGAATATTACAGCTGAAGCAGAAGTAGTCGCGGAATCCGTGACTACTGTGACCCACGTGATCATGTAGCACAGAATGATGTGGAAAGGCAAACAGAGAAAGAGAAACAGAATGGATGGGAGTGGAGCATGAAATGGAAGGGTTAAACTTTTCCACTAAAAACAAAAAGCTTATCACATTATATATGGCTAAAAATACACAAATAATTTAATATTATGACAGTTAGCACAGGGGATGATATGCAGTAGTGAACTGGAGAGGAAGTAGTCTGCACAATCACTATGGGGAAGGGAGATTGATTTGTGGTCAATCAAGATGCGGCCACACTGTGAAAGAGATAGAGAATCCCCAATTTGAAGAAACCTATAATAAAGAGTGTTCACATTTATTCTCACAGTTTATAAATACAGTGGTAGTTTAAATACAAAGAAAGAAAACTGAGGCTCTTCTAGTATTGTATTGCTATTATGAGACTTAAGTGAACTCATTAAAGATAACATCTCAAGAGTTGAGTATTTTTTTTTTTTGGGAGAATTCTTATTTGGCAGACTTCCCTGTTTTTATAATTACAAATACATTTGATTTCTTAAAAATCAAGAAAGAAACTAACCTTTTGAGTTACTTGCTGGAATAAGCAAAACCGATGGGGGAGATCCACCAATCCTGTTATGAGCAGTTACTGTCACATCATATGTTCCATTTGTTAAATTTAAAGTCAGGTTTGTGCTATTAACACTGTATTTTTCAGATGCACGTGACAGAGGGGGTCTTGCTCTGACAGTCACTTCGTATCTTAAGATTATTCCATTGGCTTCAGAACGATCCAATTCCTGTTAAAAAGTGGTTTGGTTTTATTTCATGTCTTATTGATGTTGATCTCTATCACCTGTGCCTTCCAAAAATAAAGATTATTTTCTTTACTTAGTCTTAAAAAGTTTGATTTCCTCTGCTCTGTGCATGTGATATTTCTAGACAATAATGAAAAAAGTGTGACAACAGAAACCAAGCGTCCAATCCCATAAACCTCTCTCTCACCAAAAATCCTTACACATGTGAAAAAGGCTTGCAGGATTGGGCCTCAGGCTTTAACTGGAATACAAAATGACATTAAATAGGTTTCCCTTAAATGCGCTATATATGAGCTAGATATTATTATTAGTCAGAAAAAGGAAAAAAGACACTTCTGTCTCTACATTATTTGTAATATTCCCTCTTCTCAGCTACCTGAGAACCCTAAGCAATCCTCTTCCTTCTCCGACATCACCACATATGTTCTCTAAATAGAGATAAGAAATCAGCAAATTTCAGTTCTAAATACTCTTGTTGAGGCAAGTTAACACACCCCCTCTGCAGATGTTAGGTAATTGTGCCATAGAGAAGATAATGGAGCATCAGAAGAGCTTTTCCCACCTCCTTTTTCCAGACAGAGCTAACAGATAAGTGTTAAAAAGGAGAACTTGGGTCTACCTTGTCCGTAAATTTCTCAAATTTGGACTGATTAATCCAAATAAGGAAGATAATCTCTTGCAGATGACAGTATTGTAGCTAACACCATGGTCTTTAGTTTATGCACCAGTTACATTCAGAAGGTCAAATCACACCTCTCACAGCTGTTTCAGGCTATGACATGGTCACACTGGGAGGATACTTTTCTTTTTTAATGAAAGCTTGTATTTTACAGAAACTGTCTCCAGTAAGCAGGCAAATTATGGTCTCTGGGCTGGGAGTCAGAATATCCCTTAACTAGAAAGAATTCTCTGTATACTGGTTATACCTAATATTTACAGAATTTAACTTAGTTCCAATACAGTAAGACAGATGATAGCTATTTTTTCTATCCACACTCCAATGCACATGTAAATATTCATGAAAAAACTATTTTCGTTACACAACATAATAAGCTTAGAGAATGCAATAGATCATCATAAAACATGGATTATTCTGATTATATATTCAAGTTTTGTTAGAGGTGAAGAAATTGTTTCACTTCCACACCCAAAAAAAAAAATACCTGATTTTAAAGAGTGCCTATAAACTTTTTCTATTGTGCCTTAAAGACTTGTGCAATCAGGTAATCATTTGTAATACTACTACTTACCTTCCATATCAGATGCACAGTCCAGAAGTTTGGAGAGTGAGATATGCCAATCTTCCTCCATAGAGGTGGTCCCTTAGATGGTTCTGATATGAAAAAAAAACACAAAATTTAAGAGGGATACAGAGATTTTCTTCATTGGCTTTAACTCATTATACTTTAGCATATCATTAGTCTCCTGCATCTCTTTAACAAAAGTGTATCCAAGCTAGATAATGGTGTGTTTCAGTATTTCTTTGGGATCCCCTTCCATGTAGTTACAAAAAAAATAGATTGTATGCAGTGTTGTCATAGCCATGTTGGTCCCAGGATATGAGAGAGACAAGGTGGGTGACCTGAAGAAGAGTTCTGTGTAAACTTGAAAGCTTCTCTCTCACACCTACAAAACATAACAATGGCCATAGTGAGTCAGACCAATGGTCCATCTAGCCCAGTATCTTCCGACAGTAGCCAATGCAGGTGCTTCAGAGGGAATGAACAGAATAGGTAATCAAATGATTCAGCCCTGTTGCCCATTCCCAAGTTCTGGCAAATAGAAGTTGGTCTAATAAAAGATATTAGCTCACCCACCTTACCCCTCTCCTAAAAAAAGAGATTGTTAACTGGAATAATACAATAAGGTTTCTTAGAGTAGAGCCAGTGTCCTTCCTGGTGTGTAAGCCAGGAGAATGCGTTCAATCTTTTAGAAGACTTTCCACACAGGGGTTACTAACACTACAGAAATATGGCGATTATCTTTGAATGGATATTCTGAATCTTGTTATTAGATTGTATACTATTTCTCCTAGCACTTGTATTCTTGGGAATCTGAAATCTCACCTACGAATGTTTTAAAATAAAAATCAAAGTGATTAATAAAAATACCCACAGACCAATCATGATTTAGAACTTTTGGCAGCTTTGCTGCATTTGATGGTTTATGCAAGGTTCCAAGAACATCAAGGTAGAGGCTCAACAATAGCCACTTTCCGCCCCTCTTGTGAAGTGGAACCAAAACTAATGGGAAACAATTTGTGGTGGCAGGGGAGATTTTTCCCCTTCTATGCTTTACATTATGTGGTAAGTGAACATTTGGACAACTGTTAGTAATTTGGAAAGTTTCTGGAAAAAATGGAGTATAAACCTTTGATCATTAAAAAAATACCACACAAATATTGCCATTCATAGACTTTAAGGTCAGAAGGGACCATCATGATCATTCAATCTTCTTATGGGAGAAGCAGAGATTTGGTTCTATTGGAAACCACCAACACATTTTACATTCATGTCACTGCCAGTATAGACCAATTAGCATAGAGGAGTGACAAGTGAATGTGGTAAGCAAGAGAGTTTTGCAATCCCCACTGTACCATTTCAGCAGCGAATGTGCAAAAGAAGCCTATCATCTCCCATCAATTAGCAAGACTGCTGCCAATATTGCTGGACAATAGTATGTAAAATTTTACACATTTGCTTTCTTTTAACCCTTAAAAATCAGGCAAGTGTAACCAGCTTGAAGGTGGAATACACTTTTAGCATTATAAACTTACATCCACTATACTTCCCCTCAAAGAGAAGATTGCCAGGGATAATTAACCTCTGCTAAGAATTCCACGCAAGTCAAGCCATAACACCTACCAAAACTAAGGTACTTCCAGACTTGTAACACAAAAAGGATAGCACCAAAGTGCTGCTTTAATTGCACCTTTACATTGTACTGTATTTAACATTGTATTGCACTGAACACTGTATTGTTAAAACCTGACCCTGTTCTTAGGGCTTGGCTTTAACAACAAGGGAATGAAGATAGAGTTCAACTCAAGCCTTTTCCCCAGGCTTGGCTCCCTCTAGGGTTACCACTTTAGGCCTACTACTCAGTCCACATCCTAGATCCCTTCAATAAAGTTATTCCCACTATTCTTGAGAGCCATTGGCCACAAGGGGTAATTAGTCATGTGACCAAGTCAGCAGAACCCACTTAAATCTTTCCCAGCAAGATCAATACCTCCTAAAAGGGCAACATTTCAAGCAACCACAGCCCAACATCTAATGTATTTTGGAGTATCACAATAGTTAATTCTGTAGAAAAATAAACATTAATATCAAATACTACTTACTAGCTTCAGATGTGACCCCACTCTTTTCTTTACTCCAGTCACTCCAGTAGCCCAACCCATCTTTCTTCATACAACGAAGTGAAAACACATACTTTGTATAAGGCTTAAGGGACTGAACAGTGAATGAAGTTCTGTGTGAAGCTGTATCTTCAGGAGGAACCTGCAAAAGGTAAAAAGAGGTCTTTAAAAATGTTACTAGCTATCCAGCAAGATCAGTTAAACCAGTGTACCATTACAATCCTCTTCTGAGTAGACTTTCTAACACTAGGAGCCCTGTGCCTTGGATTACTGATTTAGCACAGCACCGAATCAAGCCCTGAAACTTCAGTCATAACTCTGCATTCTTTGACTTCCAGGAGCTTCATTTCTCAATCAGAGTGGAATATATATAATTTTTTTGGTGCAGAATATATACATACAGGGTCATGTCGTCCATATGAACAGCTGTATGTATTTTGCACTTCACTTGTATTATAATCCATCTCATGCAGGATTATTTTTATTATTCCAAAATTTCTGAATAGTTTTTAAGTAATTCACATTTTTCATTGTAATATTCTAAAAACACCTACTGCAGAAATCCCATCCCTGCCTTCTCATACATGCAGTTCCCCCTCCCACCGTTTAAGATTATTCTGGTCCCAGGTTCAGAGGTAGGAATATTTGCTCTGGCCCAATCACAACCTTAATGTCCAATATACTGCAAGCCATCCATGTTATGAACCCCTAATTTATCCAGTTTAAGAGCTAGAAATCACCCTGTTCCCGATGATGTAAAGCATTTACGGTTTAGTCATGTTGATTTAGGATATATTTGACCGTAAATCACGACACCACAATTTTCCATAAAAACTATTTTTAGAATTTTACACAGAAATTGGCACTAAAAAGAAAAAACACAAATGTTTTCTCCCTCTAAAGTCTGCACAGTAGACTCACATTAGTATACAACTTTTTACGAGCAGAGACATCAAAAAATTACCAGCAAACAAGACTCATGTCATATACATGCAGAGAAAGATCAATGTGAAGAACTATAAAGGTTTTAATTCATGTTTGTTTAAGATGGCTCTTCATAACTCACTCATAAACTTTGCCAATGTGATTAATGTGGCCATTCTAAACTCACACTAATCCAACCTTTACACTACATATTGTGTGTGTTTTAGTTAAGATTTAGAAATGTAGTAGGTAAAGACCTTTCTGTAAGTGCCTCAGAATTGTCATATACACATTTTATTATTCATACTGTAGCAGTGGCAAACAAAATTAAACAAGTTTGTATTTCATCCTGGAAATACAATCCTCAGAATAATAAGATGATAGGCCCAGACCTCCAGATAAATAAAAGTCACATCTACCCTATGAATATAATCTCCTGCTATTATAACTTTCAGTCACATTTGTCATAGCAAATCCCTCACATGGCAACAAAAGTGGCTAAATTTATCAAGCACATAGAATTAACACCTTGAGAGTTCAGAATAAGACCATTAGAACACCTGACAGAAGACTTCTCAAAGTGTTCATAAGTGGTTTAGTCTTCTAGCTGAAATTACTTAGAGGAAAAGAAATTAACCTCTCCGCCTCAGTACGATGAAATAAATCACCCTGTGCAGTAACTGTCTTCGAGATGTGTGTCCCTGTGGGTTCTCCACTTTAGGGTGCGCATGACGTCCTGCACCTTTGATTGGAGATTTTTGGTAGCAGTGCCCATTCAGCTTCTGCATGTGCCCTACCCATCTTTGTGCCCCATGCTGAGGCTACATAGGGCTGCGCAGCTGAACTGCCCTCAGTTCTCTCTCTACTGCGAAGCCCCACAGAGGCAGCTCTGGAGAAGAAGGGAGGAGGGTAGTTTGTGGAGCACCCACATGGACATACATCCCAAAGAACTCCAGTTGCTGCACAAGGTGCATAACCTCTTCTTCTTTGAGTAAAGTGTACCTGTGGATGCTCCACTTTAGGTGACTCCCTAGAAGTAACCCCTTAAGGAGGGGGGGAGTTTTGGATCAGTCTATCACTGAAGAAAGAACTGTGTTGCCTACTGCAGCATCTGATCTTGCAGCATGAACTAAGGCACAATGGTCGAAAAAAGTGTGCACTGAGAGCTATTTTGCAGCTTGTAGATTTCAGCAACTGGAATAGGGCTGCAGACAGAATTATCTAGAAGAGTGCACAATCAAATCTATGAGGAGGTGGAGCCTCAGTGAAACCATAAACAGGCAATAATGAGAGATCCATTTAGAAATTTCTGAGTGGAGACAGATGCTCCCTTAGACCTCTCCGCAACAGACAAATTCTATGGGTCTTTCTGAATGGCCTAGTTCTGTCCAAATAAAAGACTAATGCCCCTTAACATCTAGCGTATGAAAGACAGACTCCTACGTAGATTAATTCGGCTCAAGAAAAAAAACACGGGAAAGTGAACAGTTTGCTTAATGTGGAACTCAGAAGAAACCTTAGGTAAAATCTTTGGATGGGATTGTAATGATACCTTCTCCTTGGAGAACACAGTTCCAACAGGCCTGCCATTGGAACCTCCAGCCTTCCCAACCCTTCGAGCACAAGTGATGGCCACCAAAAAGGTTTTGTTCATAGTCAGATGTAGCAACAAGCACGTAACAAGTGGCTCAAAGGGCTGTTTCATGAGATTGTTAAGAACCAGGTTGAGATCCCAAAGCAGCATAGGGGCTCTAATCTGTCGAGAGAGATTCAAAAGCCTTGTTAGGAATTGCATTGTGGTCAGAGAAGCGAAAGAAATCGAGAAACCTTCTTCTGGCACATGGAATGCTGTTATTGCTGCTAAATGAACCTTGATGGAACTCATACAAAGGCCTGAAGTTTTCAACGCCAATGGGTAATCCAAGATTGTGGAAAGAGACAACCTGGTATGAGAAAGATGGTGCTGGTTACACCAAAGATTATATCTTCGTCACTTCTAAAGTATGTCTTGTAGATTCTTTTCTGCTATTTTGTACTTCCAACGAACTTGCAGCTTGTAGTCCCAGAAACCACTAAGGAACCGTGCCTGCAGTTGCAGAATGTTCAGACTGGTGTCAAGCATGTGACCTGCATCCTGAGACGGCAGTCAAGGTTTGATCAGGAGTTGCCATGGACAATAAGAGTCAAGTTTGATGAGGTAAGGAAACCAAACTTATCTTGGCCATGTTGGTGCAATCAAAATGACCTCGGCTTGGTCCTGTCTGATATTCATAAAGACCTTTAAGAGTAATGGAGTTGGAGGACAAGGGGAAAAAGAAAAACAAAACAAAACCCGTTTTGTTCATTTAATGAGAAAAGCATATCCTGGAGACTAGGGATTCAGTTACCCTCTGGAACAGAATTTCCTGCACTTTGTGTTGGGAACCATGGCAAAAAGAAGGCTAGCCTCTGGAAATCTTCAAGCTAGGAATATTTTATTGAGGACTTGAGAGTCCAACTCCCATTCATAATTTAAGGAGAAATATCTGCTGAGATCATTTGCCATGGTGTGTTGTATATCCAGGAGGTAAGAAGCCAAGATGACTGACTATCTGATTGGCTATGTACCAATTTCTAAAGATTTATCGGTTTGGCGCAGAGCAAGGGGCAATATGCTCCACGCTGATGACCGATAATACATGCAAGCTACATTGTCTGTCATGATCCAAATGGACTTGTTTTTGAGTAACAGAAGAAAATGAAGACAAGCATTTCTAATCGCTCTTAACTTCAACAGACTTATGTCCAAGTTCTGTTCTTCTTGAGGCCATCTGTCCTGGACTGCGAGAGGACCCATCCCAAGAGGAAAGTGTCCAACGTTAACATGACCATAGAGGGATTCTGGCTGAATGGGATTCCTACACAAACCTTGGATAGATTATTCCACGAGGTGAATGACTGTAGGATTTGACAGGCTACAGATACCTGCTTGTTCAGACTGTGCTTGTTGGGTACAGAAACTGTTCTGAGCTACCCCTGGAGACATCAAAAGGTGCAACCTGGTGTTTTGTGTAACAAAAAATGCAAGATGCCATGTGTCCCAGCTGTTGCAGAGGTGTCCTTGCTGGAACTTGAGGGCTGAGCTGCACTCTTTGGATAAGGTCCTTTAGAGCAAGGAACCTGTCAAGAGGGAGATAAATTTTCTCCATTATCAAATCCAGAAATGCTCCTATAAAGAGAATTTGTTGCGGGGGGGAGGGGGTTAAGATCTATTTCTATATTTATTTGCAGGCCTAGACTTCAGAATGAAGTTGTTATTTGAACTGCCGACCACATCTTCTGAAATGACTGACCCTAGCGACGCCAGTCATCAAGGTAGAAAAAGGCACTTGGTCCTAGACAACAGAGGTAGGCAGCTATGACTGCCATGATTTTTGAGAACACCCTTGCGGCGGATGACAGGACGAAGGGTCTATTGTCAGAATATTTAATTATGAAATAAACCTGCAAACTAAACTAAATATAAAAGTCAAACATTCTCCAGACAAAAGTACATTTACAGAGCACCAGTTCATACATGTCTAATGAGACATACTGGAAAAACAAGCACAACACATAAAATACCAGGACCAAAGTCACAAATTAATCCTGTGTTCAATGTATGCATCTTTGGTGAATGCTCTAGTGACACATTCCACACTGTAAACCTGGTTATTTATCTTCATTCAGAGCATCATAAGTAATTAGCCTGAATCAAATTCCATCAGTCCTTAATGTTGGTGGCCAAGAACTTTTAGATTTTCCTACTGCAATTGTCAATGGATATCATCCAACAAGATGGAGGCAATTAGAAGAAATGTGTGGTTAGAGACTGACAAACCAAATTCTCTCTCTCTCACACACACACACACACACACACACACACACACACACACACACACACACACACACACACACACACACAACA